TGTTTGAGAAATCCTGCAGAGTTTTTAGGAAGCCATGCTGAGGAGCAAAACGACAGGTGGGGACCAGAAATACCTTTTGGGACCAGAAATGCCCCTGGGACATGTCTTTAAGCCGAACTTCCTCATGGCAGAACAGAAGGTGGTTTTTAAAGAGACAGAGGCCAATTTTAAGGCATTTAAGATAAGATAAGATAAAACTTTGTTGATCCCACAGTGGGGAAATTTGCAATTTACTGAAGCTCAATACAGGAGCGGCTGAGAAGAATAATGAAAGATTAATGAAAGACAATAAACAAAAACAACCCCACAATATACACATGTGATATATAGTAATGTACATATACCAATGCACATATACACATATACATAAACACACGTGCATATGCACATAAACACATATACATATATACACCATAAAGAAGAGGAAGTAATGAGAAGACAAGTCTATTTTCTATTTAAACATAAAAACAGCATTTTAATAACAGCTAAAGGTGACATAGATACTTTATTATGGTATAGTATTTAAATGTATGCCTGAGAAACACATCATATTGGCCCTTTAAAAAAAACATGAAATAATTAACCGTGAAGTCCAGCAGTTCCAGGGATGTAGGCTCCCGTGATCTCCATGTTTTCATGTCAGGCTGCAGCGATGACTGATGGAGGCAGCAAGCTTCAGTCTGTCAGGTGTTTCAGCCAGATGTTCTGCAGCTGCACACACACACACAAACACACACACACACACACACACACACACACAAACTGTCTTCATGAGTGGCTGTGTGATCTGTCACATGCTATTGTTGCTCCACTCGCTTCATCCTCCTCTTTTTTTTAAGCGTCTGAGTCGAGCCACGAGGCATTAAACGACAGGTAGACGAGCAAGTTTGTACTTTCACTCAGCTCTGAGTTATGTGGCATCCGAATCCAATCACACCGGAACGAGTGGCGGGAGAAAGATGGAGAGGGAAGGCGAGGAAAAGTGACACAGACGCAGGCTGGAAAGAGTGCAGCCGCGATCGATGCGTTTGAAAAAATCCTTTTTTTAGTTCACAAACAAATGTGGAGCTTCTGCAGTCATTTCACAACACCGAGTCTTTAACATTAGCTTCTGCTGCTTTTCTTATGCGTCATGACGGCGTCTTTGTTTGACTGATTACTTCTGGATGTGCTGCTGCAGGATGAAAACGTGTGCGCTGCCACACAAGAGCTGAGGAGAACCGAATGAGGGAAATGACTGACGAGAAAACATTTCTACAGTGTGGCAAAAACAAAATGTGACAAATTAAAAAGTCCGTTTCCGTTTATTCAACTAAACAAATGATAGAGGCAGATTTGTTACAAGAACTTGACTTTTTAAAAGCACAAAAGCTGGAAGCCTATAGTTCACCTGTGTGCTTTTATTTTGTAGGCAAGTAGAATAACTGTTAAACATAATGAGCATTAAACAGAAGTGACAACACAAACAATAAAACAAAGGCATCAAAGCTTCTGTATGAGAAAGTTTGATAAAAGCTGTGTTTCTGGTATATTTTGATTAGGATAATTTAAGTCGCTATGAAACATTTTGACTTTTACTGCACTATGTTTTTTATTTCTTTAATTCTTTTGTATTTGAGTTCATTTTTGCCTTTTTACAGTTTTATACATTATTGTAAAGTAATGAAGGTCATTTTTTTAATAAACTAACTTGACTTGATAAAATATGATCACATTCAGTCATGGGTTACGGATGTTATTTTATCAAATTTCAGATAGTTCTGCTTCGAGACATCCCACACTGAAGCACATATTTGTGTATTTAAATGGAGGCRTGTCAGGAGGTGTTCACTGASACGTACGAAGGAAAGGAGCACAGAAACATGATGCTCAGTTTAATCAATAAAAATTTCTGTGTACACACTTTTCCAATTTGATCCGACCTTTCAGTTTAAAAGCTGCTCGTACACGAGGGTCCAGGTCAAATCAATCAAATCAGGTGTGTCAAAGCAGAGAAACTGTTTTACTCTTGTCGACAGGTTATTTTTATTCCTGATTTCTTGTTGTTTTTTTTTTTGTTTGTTTGTTTGTTGTTGGTAGAAACATCTAAATTCGAAGCATTTCTCTGCTCACACACACCTGATTTGATTGAACAATCCTCTGCAGAACTTGAGCAACATGTAAAACATGTGAGACAGTGGTCCCCCGGGGACCAGGATTGGACCCCACTGGTTCAAACAAAGATCAGTTTGATGTGAAATGTTGATCTCATTTGAACTTGTCCGTAATGCTGATTTCTCCTTCTGTCTGTTTGGACCGTTAGCGGAGCTGATGTACACTGTGGAGCTGGCTGGGGGTCTGGGAGCCATCCTGCTGCTGCTCATCTGCCTCGTTACGCTCTACAAGTGCTACCGGATCGAGCTCATGCTGTTCTACAGGAACCACTTTGGCAGCGAAGATATCGACGGCGGTAAGACGCAATCACTTACATTACCATGCAAACTTTTTTTTTTTGACCGATACAGGAACATCTCTTCATTTAGAAAACACCTGGGCTTTTTCCTTTCATAAAGCTGCAGGTGGCTCYGTTTCTATTCAAGGGTAAACATTTGATCTGATGGAATGACTCATCRGCTGCTCATCCTGCGCTCAGTTTAAAAAAAAAAATAAAAAAATCTTCACCCACTTCCACTGGAGCAGTTAAATCAATAAAAGCGCAKCATGTTTGGTCCATGTATCTTTTCATTTACATCCAGTACCTCGTGTTTAAAGTGTTCTGCGTATCTGCTCACCAACTGTATGAAGCTCAGCAGATTCTGAACATTTTGTTCGAAGCAAATCAAAACGCTGCCCCTGTGCCAGACAAAAAAACATTAACTCTGAGCCCTCATCAGCAGCAGTAAAAGAAGGGGGAGAAAATCAAACCCCCGCCTCTGATTGGCCCTGGTGGATGAGTCTTAGCTTGAGAATGCATCAAACTGAGACAAGTAGCGAGTTTTTAATTTGATTTGCCTGTAATGAGTCTCTGTAGAAGCAGTGCCGCGGTGAATTCAGAGGGAATGAGATTAGTTCGGAGAGGCTGAGTGGAAGGAAGAGCGGTGTTTGTTAAAAGCCAAACTCTCCTCTCCTCCTCTCTGGGCTCATCTATGACTCCAGCTCCACCTGACATTTAGGTGAACACCGGTACCCTTTGTCTGTTTCGGACCTCCGGCCTCTAAAAGAGGAACTTAGTCTGACCGGGTACGGTTGAACCTAAAGCCGGACGGCCGCTGTCTGAATCGAGAACGCCGGGAGAGGGAAGCAGATCTCCAATTTGTCACCGAGCATCAGAGGATCAGGCCCAATAAGACTTGAGCTCTGCAGAGGCTCTGATGCTTTGTTCTGCACGCCGCGGTCCATTAGATCTCCTCTCTGCCACCTCTGGCTCCGACACAAGTCGGCAGCGGCTGCTACTTGAGAATGAATGGATTAAAAGCTTTCAGCTGTGCGGAAATAAAACAGTCTCTAAGCACTGGCAGGAGGTGGTTAACCAAGAGCCCATCTCCATGGTAACTGCTGTAAAAAAAAAAAGATGTGTGTAAGAGATATGCAAAGACACACACACTTCTCATCAATAAAGCCCTTAAGCCGGTATCATGGATGCAGAGAGATGTGCTTTTCTCCAGCGCTACTCTGCCAAGAAAGTGGCAGTGTTTCATCAGGACCACTCCCAGGAATAATTGACACCCCCCACCTTCCAGATGTAAAACTGCACGTAGCCAAAAGGAGAGACRGGGCCGCCATTTGTCAGCCACTTGGTTTTAGTTAAAGAGTGCTCTCTTGTCACATTGTGCGGGTGTCACTGGAATCAATAATAGGCTTCATGATGACAACGGGCGAGCTGACTCGACGGAGAGGTGGGAAGCTCATCAACGCTCTGCCATAAATGTCACCGCAGTCTGGAAATATGTCGCTCGCTCTGCACTCACTGGATGGAGACGAATACCCTTAGTAATTCTAAGTTCACTGTCATTTTAATGCATACTGACTAATTAACATATTGCATACCCGTAAATGGCTTCCAACGGAGAAAGATAAAGCATTTTTTTTTATTTTAGAACATAGGACAAATATCTGTTCACATTCATCATCCATATTAAATGTTTTGTCTTTGGCTTTTTAAACTGAGATTCAGAGCCTTTTATCAGTACAAATGTTGGAAATTTGGTACAAAGTCTGAATTGAAATGATCTCTGCTCTAGATTTACCGTATTTATTCAAGTATAATAGGTCAACTTGAGCCGGAAAAGGGCAGAGTGCCTTCTCCGGGTCAGGGGGGTCGCCCTGTCTCAAGTGGAGGAGTTTAAGT